CCCCCCCCCCCCCCCCCCCGCCCCGTCTCAGAGTTCCGTCTGCCTCGCAATTGTAGAATCGGGACGAGCCTGTTCACGAGACGCTTGCGGATGAGCTGTGAGCACAGTATACTTCGGCGGACGCTAATCCCCGCGAGGTCCCTGAGAAGGTGACTGTGTCCCCAGTTCTGGCGGGGACGGTGGAGGCGTCGTGGGCAGAGGTAACTTGCCCCGGTTGCGCCGCTCCCCGGCGCCTTCGCGGGCGGCGGGCACTGGCGTGTCCCAGTCTCGTCCGGTGGGAAATCCTGCTTTGCCATCCGGTAGCATTGGTCACCTCGTCTGGGAATGACCTGCAAAGAGCACAAGGGTCCACCCTTTCCTCCTCGGCCCCCTTCCTGCGGTTGGCTCCTCACCCCGAGTGGGCCCGGCCGCCCTCCCGCCTGCGGCCCCGGGTTGCCCCGGCTGCCTGGGGGTGCCGGCCTCGGCCAGCTTGGCCAGGTGAAGGGTTAAATGTGTTGAAATAAGCCTGGACCTCACAAAAGAAGTGACATTTACACCCTGGACGTTTATGGAAATACTTGCCGAAGGAAAACAACCACAACATTGTGCGTGTTTTTAGGAAGAGAACGGCCAAAGTGTCTTTAATTCACTGTTTACCCGTGAGAATTACTCCCAGGAGTGATCCTGCAATAAAATCTTCTTGGTCTATGAGAATAGAGAGAAATTGAATCAAAAGACTCTATTTCCACTTGTATTTATTCAGTCTGGGAAATTCAGTGGGCCGGAGCATTAGTATCAGCAGGGGATTCCTTGCTCCTAGCGTTAAATTACTGTCATAATCGCTCAATTATTTCTTCCTTGTACTGTTTAAAATAAAAATCCATCACATTCTGTGTTTTTTTTCTAGCATTTATTAGGTTGAGTGTTTAGGAAAATCAATTATAGTCAGTCAGGCGCGAATTGATGAATGTTCTTGTAATAATTGTCAGTTGTTAAACTGAATGTACTTTCTCTTCTCACTCTTTTCATTTCCTTCAGAGGGCAGAGGTGGCTCAGAGAGAGGCGGAGACCCTGAGGGAACAGCTCTCGTCGGCCAACCACTCTCTCCAGCTGGCCTCGCAGATCCAGAAGGCGCCGGACGTGGTGGGTAGCCCGGCCCCGTGGGGACTCTGTGCGCCTCGCGTCTGCACCTCTGTGCTGTGGCTGCTTGCCTTTGCTCACGAATGTTGCATCTGGGGGAAAACAGTTGAACCGGTGCTGTGTTGGTCGGGAATGCTTCGGACAGTCTGGGGACGGCACTCGTTAGGGTCAGAGGAAGGACTATGCCGATGGCGCATCAGTGCTACCTGGTCGCCAGCCCAGCATAGAGGCCGAGGCGGGAGATCCCCCTCACTCCCAGAGGGAGTGCCTTCCTGGCTAGGCCTGTGGGGAGACGGCTGGCAGGGGGCTGGGGGTGTGGAACAAGAATCACATTGGAAAATTGGAGGTTTGGTCTCCACCTCGATGTGTCCTTCCAGAGTGAGAAAACAGTTGGCGATGAGCAGGGCGGGCCCAAGAAGTAATCACACAGTTAACGCGCTCGGAGTCTGCGTAACAGCAGAATCTCTCTGGAAGTGCCAGCATTCTGAAGGAGCGAGGCACTCGTCTCGGTCCCTTCTTTGCTTCTGGATTTTTCTAAGATTAGTAAAGATTGTTCTTAGCCGGAACTTTTCCCAGCTTGAGCAAGGCAGCTTGGACCTATCAGATTACAGGCTCTCACCTTCTGGCTCTGAGCAGTGACTTAGGGCAGCACGGAATTAAGACCCGGATATTGGAACCACGCCCCTGGGGTCAGACCCGCCTTTCGTTAGCTGTGTGACCTGGGGCAAGGAACTTGCCTTCCCTGAGCCTGGGTTTCATCACTGGTTTTGTAAGGGTTCCAGGACGTTCTTATGAGCAAATAGCTTAGAACAAGGCCTGACCTGTAATCTGTGTCATTCGGCTTCAACGGTTCCTCTTACTGCGGCTGGCCTCACCATGTCTGATCCGGGAACCCTGGGTTCAAAGCGCTGACTCGTAACCTGTTTACTCACAGACCTCAGGCAGTCAAACTTGTGCAGCGTCAGTGTCCTCGTGTGCAGAGTAGGAGTGAGTGGCCCTGAGGCCCTTCAGCTCCTGTCACCTGTGGTGGGTGAATTATGCTTTTAAGTGTCCTTTTCTTTAACAAAGAGTTACAGGGTGCCTGCCGTGTGCCAGGACCCGCAGTGGACGGTGGGAGAGCAGGGGGGTGGGGGGGGAGGCGCCAGGCCCTTCCAGAGAGGGCACAGTCTAACCAGGAGCCTTGCTGCTGTGATAACTCACACGTCGGTCGGACAGCCATTCTTCTACTTCACCTGTGAGGCGGGTGTTTCATTTCTTTACCTAGATGAGGAAGCGGAAGTTCTGGACTGTGCACCCCTTGCCCCAGAACGCTGGGCCCCGCAGGGGCTAAGCCAGGACTCGACTGGGTCTTTGTAAAATTATTCCCTAGGAGCAAACCTACTTTTAGTGCTAGGACCCCTTTTTATGAATGGATTTCCGGACACCCAGTTGGCTCAGTCGGTTAAGCATCCGACTTCGGCTCAGGTCATGATCTCACAGTTCATGGGTTCGTGCCCCACGTCCGGCTCTGTGCTGACAGCTCAGAGCCTGGAGCCTGCTTCGGATTCTGTGTCTCCCTCTCTCTGTGCCCCTCCCCTGCTCACACTCCATCTCTCTCTCTCTCTCTCTCTCTCTCTCTCAAAAAATATGAGCGTTAAAAAAACTTAAAAAAAAAAGGGGTTTTCGTATTCTTTCCTTAAGTCAACGTTTAATTTTTAAAATTAATTAATTAAGGGCGCCTGATGACTCAGTCGGTTAAATGTCTGACTTTGGCTTAGGACGTGATCTCACGGTTCATGAGTTCAAGCCCCGCATTGGACTCTCAGCTATCAGTGAGCCCACCTCGCATAGTCTGTCCCGCTCTCTCTGTCCCTCCCCCACTTGCGCGCGCTCTCCCTCTCTCAGAAATAACCATTTTAAAAAATCACTTAAAATAATAATATTAATTAATTAATATTAACTAAAACGTGATTTAAGTGTTTCCGAAAACAGAAAAATTCTTCACTCAAGGGGCCATCCCAACTTCATGGACCCTGATATTAATTTTACCTGAAGTGTCCCACGGGCTCTGTCACCGTCCCCTGATCCAAGTGTACCTCCCTGGACCCAGCGCCACGCTGAGGCAAGGGGAAGCCCTCGAGGAAGGAGCCGGTTTGGCGTCTCTCAGCCTCTGTGGTCACCTTGGGTTCTCTCGAGAAAGCTGTCCATCCTCCGTGTCTACACGGGGCTCCTGAGCTAAAGGTTTTTGATTGAAGGGCTTTCTGGCACCATCCTGGACTGTAGCAACCAAAACATTTCAGGAGGAAATGAATGTTTTTGCAGGTAGAGTCAGTTGTGGGTCCTTGAGGCGCTTAAACACTTCATCATGGGCTAAGTGCAGTGTTTACATGGCTCCGGTTCAGCCTTCCAGGAGCGGGCCTGCCAGGGCTCCCCCCGGGTGTGCGTTCCCAGTAGCTCCAGCCCCAGCCCCAGCCGGTCGGGGAGCAAACATAGGAAACGGGGCCAGCGGGAAAATATCTGTTGGGCTTGGCTGGCAGGACTCGGCAGAGAAACAGTAGAGTCTATAGATCTAGCAAAAGCCAAAACCGATCCGTTGGGTGTCTTAACGGAATCGCCTGTTCTGGAAGGTGAGCCGTCTCTCGGCGAGCTCTAGCTCTGCGTGAGGGGCCTCACTGGGGCTTTATATGGTTGTCTCGTTTATGCCTCAAGACACCGCAGTCATTAGAAGTAGGTTTTATTATCCTCGTTTTACAAGTAAGGGAACGGGCTCAGAGGAGTTAAGTAATGTACCCAAGGTCACAGAGCTAGAAAATGCCCAAGCAGAACTTGATCCTAAGTTGTCCTACTCCAGAACGCATTCTTTCTCCCCCACGTCAAGCTACTCTCCTTCGTGTGCGTTGAATGAGACGGGACATATTCAGGTCCTTTGTCAAGTAGTTATAGACCAGTATTAGTCCAGGGCTCTGGGACACCACCTCAGGCCACCCCTTGAACCTGAACAAACCATAACAGTAGAAAACGCATCAGGCAGGCGAACCTACCAGGTGACTCTACCGGATGGAGTCTGCCTACTTTGGCCACTTGGTGTTGGCAGAAATACGGGGGGTCGGTAGGAAAGAGGAGTAAAACTGAGGTCCCTGTGGCCTCATCTTTCCCCTGCGGGAGTAAATGTAAGTAAGGTATTTGCCTAGGTCCAGGCATCTGTCTCTGAGTCTCAGGTCCTAGGTGCGCCTTCGTTTCACAGTTCGATTTTCCCTGATTTTCCCTGTCTTGCATGGGGCTCTGGCATCTCATCCCTATTTGATATGGAAACGGCCGCCGGAGAAAAGAGGTCATCACGTAGCTTATCCAGGACTCAGACGCAGGCAACTGGGGAGAGAGGGGAGGTGAACGGAGTTCAAAGGGACATAACTCATTGGGGTCCTCCACCAATAGCTTCTGCTTTTATGTTCATTTAAGTTGTTTTTGTTGTTGTTGTTGTTGTTGTTGTTGTTGTTTTGGAGAGAGACAGAGACCGCGTGAGTGGGGGAAGGGCAGAGAGAATCCCAAGCGGGCTCCGTGCCGCCAGCTCCAGAGCCCCACGTGGGCCTCAGACTCACAAAACTGTGAGACCATGACCTTGAGCTGAAATCAAGAGTCAGACACTTAACTGACTGAACCACCCAGGCACCCTCTTTTTATAATGTTTATTTATTTTCTTAATGTTTAGTTTAGAGAGAGTGCAAGTGGAAGAGGGGCAGAGAGAGGGGGACAGAGAATCTGAAGTGGGCTCCACGCTGTCAGCACAAAGCCCGATGTGGGGCTCAAATTCACAAACCTCGGATCGAGACCTGAGCCAAAGTCAGACATTCAACCGACTGAGCCACCCGGGTGTCCCTGTAATGTTTTTAGACTCTGCAGAGTATTTTCACATCCTCTCCTGGCTCCTGAGCTGTCAGAGCCCCCACCCCCAAGACCTGGCACCCGTGAAGAGCGTAGGACCCCCTCTGGGTCGTGGAAGCCCAGAGCTGTGGGTACGTCCCTGCTGGGACAGACTCTGGGGACCTGGTTGTGGTGCCCACCCGGGCCTCTTGTCAGACTTGGAGAAGTCAGTTTCTGTTCCTTCCTTGAGAGGCTTGTCCGAGCCAGGGTCCTGACCCTGAACCCCATCAGACTCGCCGGGGAGTTTCCTGGGTCCTACCCCACACTCCCTGAGCCTGTGTCTCCAGGGTTGAGCCCAGAACCCATACATTTTCCGAAGCCCCCAAGTGATTCGGGTGCAACTGAATTGAGGCCCAGACAGACACGAGGGAGCCGGCGGTGCTGACCCTCCTTGTGACCGTCTCCTGGGCCCTTGTCTGCTTCTTCCTGTCTCCCGTGTGTCTTCATGATGGGACAGCCAGGAAGTGAGCCACGTTTGGGCTTCAAGTAGAATGCTCTCTTCTGTCTCATTTCCAAGGTCTTACTGATTTGGGTGGATGATCTCATCTCATTTAGCTTATGTAAGACCCAAATGGCTTTGGCTGTGTTATGAATGAGGAATCTGGCCTGGGTGCCTGAGACATAGTTGATGTGCCCAAGGTCTCACACGGCCAGCTTGTGGCCAGGCCAGACTAGGACCCTGGCGTTGAGTAGATGGCCCTCTGGGACTGCCTGCCCCCAGGTCCCCAGCCTAAATCCAGGTTCAGCAGTGAGAGCTGCTGTTTTTACACATATCATGTGAGCCACTGATCCCTGGTCTGTGAACTTGCACTTGCCCGTTTAAAATCCCGGATCCCCCAATTTGGCTTGTTTTACCAGCTCTCCCTAAGAGCACTCGAAACTGTTGTTATGGCTGGCATCCCTCAGGTTGGAAAATTGATAAATAAATTAGATATTGTGGCTCAGTCTTTACCCCCCATAAGTCTGACCTCCCCAGATATCCCTTGCATTGGGTCCCCAAGCCCGCCACCTCAAGGCGCCTCTGGTCACCCTTCTGAGCAGTCGGTCACCATCAGGTGGCAGCAGGCTCGGTCCTTTTCAAGCTGGCCTCGGCATCAGTCACTCCCCCTTATGCCCTGTCCCTGCTCTTTCTGACCTCTCTGCCCTCCTGTGGTGCCCCCACCCTCAAATGGAGCCCCTCTTCCTTCTGACAACTCCTGCCAACACTCCACCCCCGCCTCTCCCTCTCACGGCTCCCAGGTGTTTCTGTCACTAGTGTCCCAGGCCCTAACCCCTGGCGTTGCCAGGAGGACTTGTCTCGGGTCCCCGTGGCTCCTGACCTTGGTTGTTGGCTGGCGTGGTGCTCCCCAAACTCTCTGTGGCCAAGGACGGGTTGTTGGCTTATTCACTGCCGATCCGTTGCAGACCGATGGTTTTACAAAAGATAGTAAGAGCGTCACAGCCGTGGCGAACTGCTGTACAAGTTTCTAAATGCTCACTCTGCATTTCTCTGCGTGTCTCACTGTATCAGCAACAGTCTGTGAGCTGGCACCAGGCCACGGAGCACACTCTGGACAGAGCTGATCTGGACAGCACGCGCCCTTTAAATAAGCTGGCGGGAAGACGCTCGCTAGGGCCATGTGCACGTCTGCCAGAAGTCAGGAGGAAATGAACCCACTTTATAATACGACACAAACCAAAGAAACAGAAAAGAGTCACTCCTTTACACACAGAATTTGACATTCTTAAGTGACAAAAGTCCTTAATTTCATGGGGAGGGGGCAGTAGATCTGAAAAGTTATTTCCCTGATGACAGGCTGTCCCCCAACGTGAGAAGTCGGTGACCAGCGCATCGTGCGTGGGATGGATTGGCTGCACCTGCCGGCTGGGGCTGTAGCCGCTAGTGTTTTCCATCCCCGTGAAGTGGGGGCACCCGGGCAGCTCGGTCAATTGAGCGTCTGACTCTTGGTTTCAGTTCAGGGCATGATCTCACGGCTCGTGGGTCTGGAGCCCCGCATCGGGCTCTGTGCTGGCAGTGTGGAGCCTGCTTGGGATTCTCTCTCTCCCTCTCTGTCTGCCTCTCCCCCGCTCATGCCCCCAGCACACAGCTGGACCCTTTCTGTCACCTTATTCAGATCTTTGCACAGGTGTCACAATGTCAACGGGGCTTTTCCTGACCATCTTATTAAAACCCCACTGCCGGGGCACCGGGGTGGCTCAGGCCGTTAAGCCTCTGACTCTTGATTCTAGCTCGGGTCATGATCTCACGGTCCGTGGGTCCAAGCCCCCTGTCAGGCTCTGCACTGGTGGTGCAGAGCCTGCTTAGGCGTCTCTGTCTCTGTCTCTGTCTCTTTCTCTTTCTCTTTCTCTCTCTCTCTGCCCCTCCCCCACTTGCACGCACGTGCGCGCTCTCTCTCAAAAATAAATAAACTTTAAAAAAATGCAAATCAGTAAAACCCCACCACCTAGCCCAAGTCTGACCCCGGGCCCCGCCCCCGCTTCAGTCTCCTGATGGCCTGGTTGCCGCCCAACACGCTTATGCTATCAGCCAACACATCTGATGCGGCTCGCATGCCCAGCCTCCTCCCGCTGGCTGGATGCTCCGTAACGACAGGGACCGTTGTCCTGTGCTCACTGTACGCCCGGCTCCTGGTGGGCACCCAGTAAATCCTTGTCCGCCGGCCGAATCCAGTCGCATTTGCCGTGCACACAGGAAGGTGGTGCAGGGAGGGTGTTGGCGGGTCCCGGCGGAGGCAGGAGGTCACGCCTCACCCTGAGCTCACCATCCGCATCCCTCCACCTGCGTGTCCTTGCCCAAGCCCTGCCCGAACCCCGGGGGGCTTTGTCATTTCCTTTCTCCTCCGCAGGAGCAGGCCATAGAGGTGCTGACCCGCTCCAGCCTGGAAGTGGAGTTGGCCGCCAAAGAGCGGGAGATCGCCCAGCTGGTGGAGGACGTGCAGAGACTCCAGGCCAGCCTCACGAAGCTGCGGGAGAACTCGGCCAGCCAGATCTCCCAGCTCGAGCAGCAGCTGAGTGCCAAGAACAGCACGCTCAAAGTAAGGGTGCCGAGGGGGCCGCGGGCCGAGGGAGGGCGGGACCCGCGCGCCTGCCCGCTGCCCCGCCTTCCTCCGCACACGGCCCTGGGGGTGGGGGTGGGGGGGCGACTGGCACGGCTCTTCTGGCTCCCCTCTGACACCCACAGCCCCTCAGTGGGTTGCTTCTGTCCCCGGCATCGGGGGTACGTGCCGGGTGTAGTGACCGTGGCAGGAGCCCTTGTCCCAGAAGCCACCTTATTCGTTTGCCCCGTCTTGGCTGTTGCAATGAGTAGATCTCATGTTTGCAATCTGCACGGGTCACGGTGAGAATTTGTTCTCCGTCAGAAAGCCAAAGTGACCGCTTAGGTTTTTCTTGGTCTGAACTCCAACCGTCAACAAGCGTTTTTCCCTCCTGTGGGAACAGTGAGGATCCCCTGGACACATCTGTCAGAAGCCTGGGTGCACCGGGGCCGTCAGATGTTTCTGGAGAGCATCTTGTCTGGAACTGACCGCAAGTAGGGCAACCTTGAGCCTCCGTGAGGGAACTAGAAGCAGGGTCCTGGGGCCCAAGACGGGGAGAGTGCCTTTGAACCCTTACCAGCTCTTGCCTGGACGGCACTGCCCTCGATGGGCCATCCCTTGCAGGCAGCACTTGGTAGAAGGCCCCATCCCGCGCCCACCCGTGGCCATGCTTCCCAGCCCGGGATGTCAGACTGCCACTTTGTGCACTTGCTGGTGAAGGCAGCTTGGTCACAAGCTGCCTGCACAGATGTGCCCTTCGTTCGTCCAGCTCTGCCAACCTTTTAGTATACTTTTTAAAAATAATTGCACTTGATTTATTTCCAGCCTGTTGCAGCTAATGTAACGTGAAGGTAATCCTCGCACCCTAGGTTTGTGGTGCACCAGAGAGCCATGGGGCCTCGGAGGTAGCTTGTCTGACACTAAGTGACAGGACTAGTGACGTGTGGGCCCAGCTCCTGGGCCAGATGTGCCCCCGCTCCGCCATGCCTCCCCAGCCTGGGCGATGCCCTCCCGGGCCTCCCGCCCTGCCCCGCGTGTGTGTGCAGAGCACATGGATGACGGCCGAGCACAGCCGTCCGTATACTAAATGCAGTACGTCCAGATGAGTTATACAAAAACATCAGGAAAACTTTTTCTTATAGAAAGTACTTCCAGGGCGTAGTTAGGCCCGTTTGGATTTTTTTTTTTTTAAACTGACATTTTCCTTCCCAGCGCACGACCGTGTCTCTGACCCAGAGGCGAGTTTCCAACAGGTTCTGTGCTCCCGTCAGCTCGCTGGCCTGACCTCGCTGACTCAGGGCCCCCACTGGACATCCCCCCTGGTCTCTTCCTGGCCCCTTCGGGGTGGATTTCACTCACTGTCCGAGGAACCACTGGGTGCCTGGGCCCCTCGGAAGAGCCGGTCCTGCTGACTTTGGGGAGAGGGTTGCGGACCCGTGGCATTTATTTCTTCTTGAGTTTCTTACTCTCCCATCAGCCTGCCCAGTGAGCACTAGCACTCATTTTTTATTTCTAGATTAAATTTAATTTTCTCATGTTATAGCCATTTCTGACCCCAGCAGTGGCATTATTATTAGGTAATTTGCCTTCCTCTCCTTTGTTACAGTTAAGGGGTCTGACTCAGATACAGTCCCGCATTTGACTATGAGAGGGAGGCTATAGACCTTACATTTTTTATTATAGAGCAATTTCTTCTAAATCAGTTAACGTTTTAATGTTTGCCTTCTCAAAAAAAAAAAAAATGAAACGCAGTTTCACAAATTAATGTTCTTTATCCGTATCTTGGGGGAATTCTTTAATACGGTGCAGTTAATGAAACAATTTGGCAATACTTCTTCCAAAATTACCGCTCCCTTATCTTCATCCGATCTAATAATCAAAACATATCCTCTAGTAACAAGACTCTGATTCTCATTATCTTAACCCCTTGTCACCAGGAGTGAAGATCTCCCCAATATTGAATCCGCACGCAAAAGGCATCAGCATCCCCCAAAGAACGCCTCTATGCCTCCCTCACCCAAAGGAACGAGGTTAATTGAACCAGTTCCCTTCCCGGGGCTTTTTTTTTTTTTTTCCTAATGTGTATAATTTATAGTCTCAAATCTAAACTAAACAGCAATACAGTTATGAAGAAAATAGGAATGAGACCTGTCAAAGGGGCAGCTTGCTGCTTCCGCAGTGGTGGCAGGGGGCGGGTCTCCGACCCAGCAGCGGTCCCTCGGAAGCAGCCAGGAGCCGCACCTGAGCTTGCCCTGGGGCTTTCCTTTCTTCCTCCTCCCTCTCCCGCCCCGCCGCAGCCTGTTCCTTCTTGGGCCGTGTCGTTCAGTTCTGGGGGACCCTGGGACGCGGCGCGTGGGGCTCGAATCGGGACCGCCGCTTGAGGATGCTGAGGCTTCAGGCCCGGCTCAGCTGCTTGACATCGGGTGTGGTTTTGCCATGCATGTTGGCGATGGTCTTTGAGACAGATGCTCCTGTGCCTGATGGCAGTCACTGGTGGGGTGTGGGGCTGATCCCACAGGGCACAAGGCATAACGGGCAGAGCCTTTACGCTGCGGCTTCTTGGGGTTTCTCGACCAGTACAGTACTTCTTGGTGGTAGCACTGAAATGGACCGTATCTGGGGACTCACTGGTTCGCTTTCTCTGACACCTTGAAACTCTCCATCTCTCGCAACCAGTATTTCCTCCCTTTGCCTCGACGATCGATTGGCAACCGTGTGAGGATAAATGGACAGGCGGATGTTTTCCAGTCTCTCTTCCCGCCGTGCTCTGCTTTCTCGAGCCAGATTCACCCTAAACGCATCGCTCTCCACGCGCAGCGGCATACCCTCTAGTCTTAGACGGTGAAACACGCTCAGACGTGGGTGATGTTTCTTCCTGTCTCATCTGACAAGTGCTCAAGCACAGTGCCACTTGTCCGGGCCAATTCTGTATTTGTAATTAATGAACTAACCCGACTGCTATTACAAGCCGGCTATTTTCGATAACTCTATTCTGTGGTCTTCTGTTGGAGCACTTCAATACGGAGGCAGTATAATTAGGCAGTCACCTGCACTCTACTTGCTAAAGCACAGAAAATAAAGCTCCCGATAAATAGCTTCCATTTAAAATGGCTATTTATAAGAAAGGCTAGCTAAAAGAATGCCATTCTCCCATTAGGAGAAGGTATATTTTTTAAAGATGAGTACTTCCCACTAAGGGGGCGGTGGGCAGGTGTATTAGCATCACCTGGGGGAGGCTGTCTCCAAACCACATGCCTCCCCAACTCTCTGTTCCCCTCACCCCCATCTCCTGCAAGGTCCTGTTGAGCCACCGTGGAGCTCGCCTTGTCCCTCGGGGAGTTGGGCCACGAAAAAAGAAACAACCACTTCCGTAGACTCACTTGGTGCCCTTGATCCTGGACGCTGCCTCTTTGGCACGTAGGTTCCCTCGCCCGGCAGTGGATTTACTCTGCGCTGAGGCCGCCTTCCGTCCTGTTTCGGTGAGCGTCCCATCGATGTCTCGGGCTCACCACACGAGCAGGCGTGATGGTGATCCGGTCTCACGGAGGAGGTCACTGAGGTGAGGAGAGGCCCGTGCACGCGCCTGCCCGCCAGCAGGACTGACTTAGCCTGGATGGCACAGGCGAGCCCGAACCTCAAACGTCCCGACAGCAGGGAGCCTGGGACCGAGCTCCCCACAGCCTTGTCCTGGCTGGATCTTGAAGACGCTGTGAGCACAGAGTCAGGGAGAGGAAAGAAGGAGGTTTCCATGGGGAAGAGGAGGCAAAGGTGGCTCCGGTGCAGGAAGCAGAGGCGATCTGCGCGGCCGCGGTGGCGAGGCCCTGGGGGAGAGCACGCTGGAGGACTCAGTCTCTGAAAACCTGAGGGGCTCCATGCTAGCGGCCTCGAGGTCCACGTGAGGATTGAGGTAGGAGCGGGAGGCCACAAGTGGGCTCCTCCAGAGTGGCTGTAAACCCGGACCCATTACTGGAAACGTTTTCAGGAGCTGATTACTTACGGGAACCTACGGCGCGTCCTCTTGGCAGGACACCCGTGCCCCTGGCCACCTGGAGATGGACCGAGGCGTTTCACCTGCAGGCCGCCTCGGATCGCGGCACACCTAGCTGACCATGACGGGCAACATCCAGGCGGCCTGAGCACGGAGCCTGGGCCCTCCTGGTCTGTGATGGCGCCATTCCGTGAGAAGGAGTTGGCTGCCTAGGTCACACCTGGACCACAGCTCGTGGAAACTGGCAGTGACCCGTGCCGGGAGCGAGCCCTCCAATATAACTGTCACTCCCCCTCCACGGCCTGGCCTTGTGCCCTCGGGCCCTCTGGGCTTCCTCCCACCCCGCCACACCCAGCATCTGTAGATCCTAAATTCTAGTAGGAACTGTGGCGACCAAACGGGCTCCCCGTGCAGGTGGAATCCTAAGCCTGGACCTCAGACATGCAGTGTCTACCTGAGGGGCTGGGCCTCAGACCCCCTCCCCCCACCGCCACCACCCCCACCGCCACCGCCCTGGACCGGGAGCCCGGTCACACCTCCTCATTCATGACCGGTGGTCCCCATGAAGACAGGGGTCACACCCTGATGCCCCTGGCCGGCGCTGTCGCTCCTAAGAAAACACGGCTGAAAGCCTGGCTCTGACCATCTCTGGAGGAACGACAGAGGCGTCTGCCCACAGCAGTGCCCCCACCTGACCGGCCCACCATCTCTGTTGGGGCAGAGATATGTTACTGCCCGACCCCTGCTGTGCCGGCCGGAAGAAGGGCCTTGCCGAGGGTCTCTGCCTCAGAGGCCCCTTCATTTGGCAGCCCTAAAACAGGGGGCAGGCGTGTCAGAACTTGAGCAAGAGGCGTCTTTTATAAACGTGGCACCCGTCTGCCACACGCCAGTATGCCTTGCGTTTCAAATTAAATTTCCTTAATTCTTCAAGGCTTAGCCAGGTTCTTAAGCACTTCCTCTGGATAATTAATTCGTCTAGCAATTCAAGACAATTTGACGAGCACCTCCTGAGCTCCCGGAACGACGTGTGTGCTCCCTGTCACTGAACGGACGTGACCCACGTCACGTGGTCCTCTCAGAGGGGCACTTGTGTGTCCTGCGTGTCCTCGCCGCGGCCCTTTGAAAACCCGTCGTCCAGATGAGGAGCGTGAGGCCCGACAGGCGTGAGCCCCTCACCCAAGGGGACACCCTTGCAGGCCAGGAGTGGGCCAGCAGCCCATCTCTGACCCTTGACCTTTTCTCACCTCTCTGTTAAAGCCCCGGCGGGTTCCTTCACCAAGCACCTTTTCCGGAAGATACCCTGGTTCCCAGATGCTGCACACACTGGATGCGCTGCCTGCCTGCCACCGGCACTTCACGGCCAGCGCTGCCCCGGGCACCCGTGCTCCTCCTCCGTGGGTCTGCCGGGGAGCTGGGATGTGGAGAACTCTATAAGGGGAGCCCCTGGATTCAGAACCGGAGAGTCCCTTCCAGAATCATACAGTCTATCCAGTACCACCCCCCAGGGTTAGAGTCCTAGCAACCACGGTAACGGTAACAACCATTTGCGAAGCGTTTTGCCGCGTGCCAAGCACTTAGCATTATTTCCTCCAGTCCTCCCCAAACCACTATACCGTGTGCACCAAGACCCCCATTTCATACATGAAGAAACTGAGTTCGGTGTCTTGTTAAAGTCACCCCGCAACTAAGTGGCAGAGCCAGGCCTTGGCCCTGACCTGTCGGGCTCCGGAGCCCAGGCTTCCAGTGAGTGCCTGGTCTGGCCTCAGCACACGCACCTTCTCGGTTCCTCCTGGAATTACCGACAGGTGCGGCCGGCCTCTGCTCTAACTAGGTCTGATGGTAGAACCCAGTGACACGTTTGCTCTCTGGGCAGACAGTCACCTCTGCAGAAGCGATGCCACCATTAAATGAGATCGCGTTTGGGGCACGGAACCCGGCCCACCCCGAGGAGCACCAGCGAAATCGGAGCGGAGCCTTCCTCCACAGAGAACAACAGACGGAGTACCTGTTGCCTTTCCAGATTGAGAGTTTTGGAAACTAGACTTTGCAGGCACCCAGCAGGGAGTTTCTGGTCTGAAGCCCAAGCAGAGGACCATTGATCTTTTTTCCATGGTGGGCCTATCTGGTACCACAGGCCGTGTGCCTCCTGCCCCTTCACGCCACTACGAGTGTGGCTCTGGGGACATCGCACTCCCCAGAGACCGTGGTGAAGATGGGCTCGAGGTGCTCACGGGTCAGGACAGGCTCTGTCAGGCGGCCCCGCCAGCCCGCATCCAATCATCTGCCCAAAGAAATGAACATCAGAGGTTTACAGATGCGGTCTTGGGTTCTTCTTGATTAAGATGCCCCCAGGGGGGTGACAAATTTCAGCAAAAGCTATTCAGTTCTCAGCGAAAAATGTCACATCCGACCAAGTTACACAGCTCCAGTCCTAAAACCTTCTAATTAGGGCCCATCACAGGTCTGCAAAGCCATGCTCCCTGGGAGGCTGGGCCGTGATGACAGCCCCACATCAAAGGCCCTGTGGCGCCTCATCTGCACCAGGACCTTGCCCCGTGCTCTTCTGCTTGGCCCTTTGGGGTTGTTGCTGCCCTTCCCGTATTTCACAGATGAAACACTCATTACCGAGCCCCAAGGTATCCAGCTCAGGAGTGACGGAACTGACTCCAGGTTCCGTGCCGCACCGGGTTCGGAAGCGCTCCGTATTTTCCCCTCTCCCTGCCCTCCCTCCTGTCTGTCTCGTGTTCCCTGAACACGACCAAGTTGTGCGTGTGTCCCAAATCCAGCACCCCTGACCTCCGGCCTGGTGCCAGATCACCTTTTGTCTGGGAGTGCTCCCTGCACGTGATCGTAGGGGAGGGACATAAGCACTTCTTCAAGAGCACCTGCAGAGACCCTGGTGTGGGAATGTGACTGCATGCTACCCCCATTTGACTAGGACGCCGTTTTGACTAGGACGAGAAACCGTTAGGAAGTTGACAAAGGGTCATTAAAAGGAACTAGGGCAGAGCAGTTTTACACCATGGAAATACACAAGAAACTGCCAGCAAAGACGACAGGGAAAGAGGAGCGAAATGAGTTTAGCTTACAGAACACCCGAATCCTTGAACAGCAGGCAGATTGCGATGCAGGTTGAGCATCCGGCCCGATGGGCCGGATGGGCATGTCCTCCCCAAACTCTAGAACATTCTCAGCCGGACTTAAACTGTAGCTGTGGTCGTGGCTGGCCACGCAGAACCCTGTAGATGGGAAGGCGCTGTCGATTCCCCCCCAGGCCCGGAAACCTGCTAAATCGTCTGCCATCCCCTTCCCCAGCTGGGTCTGGTCTCCTTCCCCTTTGCAGGAGGTCAAAGGCAAACTAGTCCAAACACCCTCACGGAGGAGCGTGTCCTCTGCCCACCACCCACAGCTAACGGCCTCTCCTGGCAAGAAAGCCCTGCAGAGCTCTGTGCAAACCGATTACATCAATGCCCCGTGAGTTCGCAGACCCTGATGGAGCACGTCAGAGAGTCATCCTGTCAGGGGAGCGTGTCACCTCGCCCTCCCTCTGAAGGGCACGCGAGGGCCAGGGAGTCGGCTGTGCCCCGCCTTGGCCCTGCTGGCCAGCTGCCCTCCGAGGGTCCTCCCGTGGGATTCCGACAGAAAGACCGACCAGCTCAATGGGTCTCCGCTCCTAAAATGCCCACATCTGGGGGGGGCGGGGGGTCTGGGAGTACGAATGCTCTTCTTTCCCGATGCCAGCGCTCCACGACGAAGGGCTCGAACCCCTTGTCAGCAGGGTCCCCGCCAGAGGTGTTGACATGCGACTGACTGCCTGTGTCAGCTTGCCTAATATATTTCGGGAAAAGCCACGCGCTGATTTTAAAGAGCTGAGAACTTCTCTCCGTCCTGTTTGCCGTTTCACGGTATTTCATACAAAATGGCCTTTTCTTGTTCTGTTTTTCCATTTACGTAAAGCCTTGTCCCACCTCGGTTAGGTTTTATGCTACACTGTGTGTGACCACGCCTGCACGCGGGCCCATTCACACCCGACCGTGCCCGTTCACACACACACACAGGCGCGCCGGACCGGAAGCGTGAGGGCCAAAAGGCGACCCCACGTGTCACCACCATTTGTTTCTAGGTGCCGGTGTTCCCCCTCAGGGATGGCTGGATGGCTCAGAGGGAGTGCAGTCGGCGATGGCTGTCCCAGTCCACACAGGCTGCCATAACACAACATCCTAAGCCAGGGGTTTAAGCCACAAACATTTTATTCTCAGAGTTCTGGAGGCTGGGAAGTCCAGCATCGAGGCTCTGGCAAATTCCGCATACGGTGAGGGCTCCTCTCCTGGGTCACGGACTGCCGTCTGTCCGTCCACTGTGTCCTCACATTCCTAGCAGGGCAAGGGAGCTCTGCGGGGTCTCTTTGATGAGGGTGCTGGTCTCATCCATGGGGCTCCCCCCTCACGCCCCCGTCACCCCTGAAGACCCCGCCTCCTCACACCACCACCTTGCGATACACGAATTTGGGGGGGGCACAGACATTTGTTTCGTAGCCAAGTCCGTCCACCGGTTTCAGACACAGCCATTAATAAAGTTCCTCTGTTTGCAGCAACTGGAAGAAAAACTCAAAGGACAGGCTGACTATGAGGAAGTGAAGAAGGAACTAAGGTAAGTGTGGAGACGCCTGCTCGGCCACCTGCCAATCAGGGCTCCTCAGCGACATTTGCTCAGGAGACTCTGCACCAGGAATGGGTGGGGGGACCAGCCACGGGTCCTTGCCCCGGGCCGCCCAGAGCCGTGGGCGTTTGCACTCAGGCCTGTGCCTGAATTCTCCGGACTTTCCATAAAACTCTGCGCGTTTAAAGTAGGCCAGCACGCACAGAATCAAGGGAGACATTGCCTTTCAAGCAATTATAAAACACAGGGCCGTGTTGCAGACAGAAGTTCCCTGAACAGGAGCAGAGCAGGGAAATGCTTTCCCGTCGAAAGAGTTCCCGTGGCCTCCCACCCCCTGCCCACCTGCAGGTGCCAGGACTTTCTTCTCCCAGTGTCCAGTTTCCCCTCCGAGAGGCAACAGCTAAAAGCCTGTCACCCCTCCAGTGCTAACGTTTACACTCTCAAGGTGAAGTCCCCTCCCCACGCCCGGCCTCCCTGCCGCCCCCGGCCCTCTCAGACGCCCGGCCCCCCCGCCCCCCCCCCCCCCCCGCCAAGGTCGCCCAGCCCTGGAGTTCATGGGCAGCCCCCACAGTGCAAAGGGCCCTCTTCTCCCCCAGTCTGGCTGCAGAGTCTGTCCCTGAGCGTCCCTGCCTCCGTGGCTGGGCCCTCAAACACTGCGAAGACAGCCACCCGGCCCTCCAGGCCTGTGCTCTCCACTGCTGCTGGAATGAGGGTCCTTCTGCTCCCCGCCAACCCCTCCGCTGACCTCCTGGCGTCCCGCAGCCTCCCCCTTGGCCTCCGGATCCCCGCTCTGACCCCGGCATCTCCCTCCCACCTCTCCGGGCTGACCCTCCCCCTGCACCTTGGGCCCCCTCCCCCTCCCCTGCCAACCCACCAGCTCCTCTCTCTTGCTGATATTTTTAACTTCTCCTTTTAAAATAGGCCACACCCCCTTGCCATGCTGTTCTTTGTATTCTTAATGATCCCTCGGGTTTGCCAAAAATGCCCACGGGAAGGCCTCTTCGACCTTCTTGCCACCAGGTCTCCCATCGCCCTGGCTGGGCCACGAACGCTTCCGGCCTCCCAAGGGAGTTGCCTGCAGGCGGCTCCCCAGCCCCACGCCCAGCGCGCGCGGCTCTCCCCGCACAGTCTCGCCCCCTCTGGCCACAGGCAGCCTCGCGACCCCTCTGTGGCCACCCGTACACCTGCCGACACGCAGATCCAGCCGTGGGGCGTTCGTTACTTACCCGTCCGGCCTTCTAGATCTGCCTCTCCCGTCCCCACGTCCCCTCCTCCCTCTCTTCCTCCCACGCAAAAGGAAACATTGTGTGCCTTCTAGTGTTGAGTCAGAAAACTCTGATGCGAAGGCCTTCGCCCCCAGCCCAGCCACTGCATGCCAGCCCCCGGCCCCTCCCAGAACCGCACCCGTAGTCCTGGAGGCCCTTTCTGTCGCACCTGCGCGCACCAAGGCCCCACCTCAGCCCCACGTCTGCATCCGAATGCCCCATTGGGATGGCTTTGCTGCTGAAATGTGTTCAACCCAAGTGCCCTCCCAAACACACGCCTCAGTCCCCATACCCATCCCCTCTGCGGGCTCCCTGCCCACCTTGGTGGTCTGTAAAATACCCTGCTCCTTCCAGGCCTTTGTGAGACACTGACTCCTCCTGAGACAGACCCCGTCTCCAACCCAATGGGGTTTCTGCCGCCAGGGGGACCCACCAGGTTTTCACTTTCACACACTCTTTGGATTTTGTCTTCTACGCACATGACAGCCGACGGAGTCCACACGGGTGAGGGGCAGAGTGGCTCTGATCCTCCCGAGTGCCAGGCACCTAATAGGTCATCGGTAAAAATTTGCTGAATAAATTGAAAAGATACTGGTATCTGGGGTCTAAGCTCATAGACTCACTCCGGTCTTTTTTTACACGATGTTAAAGATCTCAGACAAGAATATAGTTGCGCACACGAAGGCCATAAAAAAAGACAAGTTCCAGACTGCTCGTCACTTCTCTCCTGGCTGATGCAGTGGGGCCCCGAGTTCTTATTATTTCAATAGCTCACCATAAAATAAAATTATGAGGTTCCCTCCCCCCGCTCCACCCCTCCCCGCAGCTGCTCTTCTGTTCCTGTTTTCTTAGTCTACGTGACGAGGGCCACTCTGAAGATATAACCACAGATAAACTAAGCCGTCAGCTCCTTACTGGCTGCCACGGTGGCAATGGCAGAGCGTGGTCTCCTGGGGCCCTGGGCATTTTTACACCATGCTCTGACACTTCCGTGGAGCTTAAAGAGGGCAGGGGCCAGAGTCACAGCCATAAGAACTCTGGGAGAGCACAGGTGGCCCACTGCCTGGGACTACGGAGGCTCTTACTCACCTTCCCGAGCTCCTGGGGCCACGTGGGCTCACAGAAAGGAAAGGGTGTCCCCTTAAATAGTGGTTCTGGGCACCTGCACTCAACTCGGCTGTGGGACTTGTTGAAACAGGCCTGGACGAAGTGATTTCAGTGATAAGGAGGACAAAGGAGAAATAGTCCTGCTCCCCCACACCACCAGGGGCCACAGAGTAGGTCTGCAACCAGCCTTTGAGCCATCCAACTTGGGACTTGCTCTTTGACCATTTCCCCCGGGGCCCAGATGCCAGGCACCAAGCGAGCGTCTGGCCCCGGGAGCAGGTAGGAGGGATGAGCTTTCTCTCCCTGGCTTCCTTCTTACAACCTTAACATTCCCTGTACGCTTGACAAATACATTCCACTTGCAACAATGTTATGTCTGTGTTCAACTTTAAAATTATACTCTGAACAGCCCTGGTGTGATTCCATATGGAATGATTTACATGCTGGGCAAGAAACTTTTGCGGGCCAACTGCTAGTTGAATAGCTATTCTAGAGACACTATCAGATGATAATGCTGCCAGGGAGGTGGTTAGAGCTCTCGGTTCCTCGGTTCCTGGAGTGCAGGAAACTGATGTCCGTGCTCGTGAGTGTGGCGGTCGTCAAAGGTACACGGGGGAAATGACTGCTCTGTCTTGCTCTTCACAGCATTCTGAAATCCATGGAGTTTGCACCGTCCGAGGGAGCTGGGACACAGGTACACGGTCTCATTTGCTTTCAGTGTGTGCGAGGGTCAGCTCGCCGTGCTCACTCGTCCGTCCCCGGGCGAGCATCACGAGCTCGAAATGTCTATGAAACCTCCCACCTGCAGCTGACGAGCAATTTCTCAGGAACCTTAAGCAAGTTCAGGCACGTTATCTTTAATGTAAAAAGAGGCAAGAAGAGAAGAGTCAGTGTTTTCCAAACTGGTAACTCGGTTCACGTGACACTGTGATTTAACTCGGGCGGGCACTAAGAACATGGCTAAAAACAGTCTTAGATTATGTCAGAGACCCGCCCAAAATGGACTGGCTTTTATTATCCGCTGCCTCACGTGGAAAAGGGACGGGGCAAGATGACAGCGGCACATTGTCTACCTGGTGGCCGCGTAGACTTTGAGGCACCAAACAGAAGCCCACTCCTGATGCCCAGACGGCAGCTGACTCTTTGGGGCTGGCAACCTCTGCAGTGACCTTCGGACAGCCAGTTCTAATGCCCGATGAGGCACAGGTCTAGACTCCCTGGACGTGGGGACGGAATAGAGCATGATTAGTTGTCTAGAAGCCACGTGGACGTAAAAGAAGACGTAAAAGCTCCAGGTGGAACGCATTCCTTTGGAAAGGAACTCGAGCGTTTCCCACGTGCGCGTGACCATCTTCAGGGGAGGGCAGATCTCTGTAACGTATCAGAGTCAGCCGAGTCGGGCGCACGAGCCATCAGAGCAGGGGGTGTGGGGTTCTGGTGGCCCCGGGGAGCGGGAGGGTGGCGGGCCCCGCGGTGAGCCCTGCTCTGCCCCATCTAGGACGCATCCAAGCCCCTGGAGGTGCTGCTGCTGGAGAAGAACCGCTCGCTGCAGTCCGAGAATGCCGCGCTGCGCATCTCCAACAGCGACCTGAGCGGTAGGTGGACGGCATCGCGTGCCGTGCTCGGTCCCTTCCGGGGGTCGAGGAAGAGGAAGGTGAACCGTGAGTCTGGGCCGATGCATGACGGGAACATCACCGGTTGATGACAGCTTTGACTAATGAGTGCTTGGTCTCCTCCTGGTCCTCCTCACTGCTCCTCCCCTCCCCTCCCCGCCCCGCTTAAAGATGGTCAAGGCCGGATGTGTGGCCGCAGAGCGCCTGCGGAGGTCAGTTAGAGCCAGTGTTGCAGGACATCCAGGAGGGACACTCGGAGGATGTTGGCTTTTCTGGTCTTTTCCCAGTTGTGCGGCCTCTCTCTTGTGGTGTTTTCCGGGGCTGCTTGCGGAGGCCCGGCCCTTCCAGCCTCAGTGGAGCTTTTCTTCCTTCGTCAGGTTTTCCTTGGGAGCGCATCCCCCGTCCTTAGCCTTTCTTTGCTCGTCCCAAAATGGTGGCGTCACTGACTGCTTCTGGTTTTGGCAGCTGGTAAACCGTTTAACAGTGTCTCGGGCTCCGATGATATTTCGTTCTTAAAATGTGCGTGCCTTCGATCGAGTGGACTCGGTACAGTGCATTCGCCTCAGAGCAAGTGGTGTGAGAGAACCCGTTGGTCCCAAAATGTCAGTGTTTGCTGCTCCTCAGGTGGGGCCCTTCTGGTAATAGCTCGAATGCTAGCGGCCCGATCAGAGGCCCCGCGACCTGTCGACTCTTTACTGTGTGTGGTACCGGCTCCTTGTCACTTTAGGACTTTAAATCTATGTCGAGGGGACTCTCCAGGCTGCAACGTACAAGAAAGGTGCAAACATGAAATGCATGTTGCTTGTTTCGGGGGGCCTCGTTTGGCTAATTTAAAAATTCAATTGAAAAACAGACCAACACACCTCATTGGCCCTTGTAAAATCTGCACTTTTTGGTTTTTTTTTTTCCCTTTTGTGGGGCAAACTCTGCATTTTGGTCTTGGTTTTTTTTCCCTTTTGAATCCCCCATAATGCATTATGTTTGCCCTTCCTTGTAGGGTCAGCCAGGAGAAAAGGGAAAGACCAGCCTGAGAGTCAGCGTCCTGGACCTTTGCCGGCCTCCCCTCCTCCTCAGTTGCCCCGCAACACGGGGGAGCAGGCTTCCAATACTAATGGTACACACCAGTTCTCACCAACGGGGTTAACGCAAGACTTTTTCAGCTCATCCCTGGCAAGCCCCAGCCTGCCCCTGGCTTCTACGGGAAAATTTGCACTAAACTCTCTCCTCCAGCGACAGCTAATGCAGTCCTTCTACTCCAAGGCCATGCAGGAAGCAGGAAGCACAAGCGTGATTTTTTCAACAGGTCCATACAGCACAAACTCCATATCTTCCCAAAGTCCATTACAACAAAGCCCAGATGTAAATGGCATGGCCCCGTCTCCCAGCCAGTCAGAAAGTGCTGGGAGCGTCTCCGAGGGCGAGGAGATAGACACTGCGGAAATCGCCCGGCAGGTGAAGGAACAGTTGATCAAGCACAATATCGGACAGCGCATTTTCGGACATTATGTCTTGGGACTGTCTCAAGGGTCCGTGAGCGAGATTCTGGCCCGGCCCAAGCCATGGAATAAACTGACCGTTCGCGGCAAGGAGCCCTTTCACAAGATGAAGCAGTTCCTCTCGGACGAGCAGAACATCCTGGCTCTTCGCAGCATCCAAGGCAGACAAAGAGGTGAGAGGCTCTCGCGGGGTGGTGCCAGCGTGCGAGCCCGGCACGGAGTTGTGTGTGAGTGCGCGTGCGCGTGTGTGTGAGCTGAAACGTCCGCGCGTCACAGCAGGTAAAAAAAATTCCGTTCGCCGCTACCATCTCTGGGGTCCGAAGGTCGGCGGCGTGAGCCGGAGCCGACAGATACGGGGGGCCTGGCCTCTGACACTCGCTCAGCCCCCCGCATGCAGTAAACTCAGAACCAAAGTGCCACCCGTCAAATCGGACGGAATCGCATCCTGTACAACGTCCCGACGCGCGTCGCGTCCAGCGGGCCGATTGGCGGTGGGCGCTGGCCTCACGTGGGAGGAGCCCTCGGGTAGCGCCCGGCCCCAGCACAGCAGCAGCAGCCACGTGCCCCTCCTCTTCCCACACACACGGGGGGTGTGTCCCGTGGCCAGCTCTCTCCCGGAGTGACCTTCCATTAGTGGTTCCTTTAGCCGAAACCAGCCAGACACCAGCCTGCCTTGAGTAAGATCCGTGAAAGCTCTATGAAAACCGCCTTCCTCCCCCACCCTCCACAAATATGACAGCCACTCCTATCCCTGATTGAAAGAATCCCCTTCCCTCCCGAACGACGGGATCATTCCGCTCGACCAGCAGTGGTAGAGAAGGGTAGTCTTACCAGACACACTGGAGACGCAGCAAACAGGGAAGGGAGACGCTTCCAGGAGCGTCGATTTGCACAGGGCACGTTGAGCTTTCTGTGGCGATGTTAACTGAAATTGACTGTCTTTGGATGATTAATGTGAGCTTTGTGCCGGGGGCTGGTGGGCGACGCGCTCGGCGGCAGGCGGTGCCCCCTCCCTTTGACCCTCACGGCTGCGGTGCCGCCGTGGGCCACTCCTTAGGTCTGTCTGATCTTCCACAGCAGGGCCTTGGCCTCTGCGGGCCGGCCAGCCAGGGAAGGGCCTCTCAAAGTTTCTAGTACCTCCCGAGGTGTACAGGAAGCCCTGAGCCCTTTCTGTAGTGACAGGAGGCTCAGACGTCATGTCACACAGCCCATAGCGTCAACGCCACCGTCCCCCTGATTGTTTTGTTCTTACCACACTTGTTTTTCAACAGAGAATCCAGGCCAGAGCCTGAACAGACTATTTCAGGAAGTACCGAAACGAAGAAATGGGTCTGAAGGTATGTCGCAGGCAGGTGTTTTTCTTTGCAGTTAGTAAAAACCTAGGAAGCAGCATGTCCTTAGCTGTGCATTTGGGTTAAAACTGTGCAGTGTGATTCTGGCCTGGAACCTGATGGAAAAACAGCTAGTAAGTATAAAACAAAGCACGGGTTCAAGTACGCACGGTCCCTTCCTCCCCAGCTGCCCGCACCCTACTGGGTGCGCAAGAGGTGAGGCGGGGAAGCACCGCTAAGAACCAGCCCCCATCCCCACCCCCACCCCGGACCAGCCCAGCCCCCGCTCAGGTGCAAATTACACCTTTCCCCGTCTTCTCAGAAGCAGCCAAGAGCTAACGACTTTCGCTCTGAGAAAAATCAGGTGACCGAGGCAATGAGATACTGCTGCTTCCTCGTACTTCCTTTTAACTCTGAAATACGTTAAAGGTGCTACGGAGTGGACAGATCCCCGGTGTCATTATCGGTTCTCCTCTGGGCCCTGGTGAGCCAACCCCCACTGTGCTCCTGGGCGCTGCATCTTCACAGGGGCCGCGCCCCAGCGGTGTGCTTGTCTGGCAGTGGTTTGGTGCGGCGGTGGCCTTACGTAGCAGGGAAGTGGAGGATGAAAATACGCGGAAGGCTTCCAGAAAGAACTGGGGCCAGCTCCCCCCCCCGCCCCCGCCCCCACCCCCCGCCGCAGTAGCTTCGGTGCCTCTGTGCACGTGGCTACTCTGCAGAGCGTCCCCCTGTGACCCAGAGGTGGAATTCTTGCCCTGGAGGGAATCTCTGCAGGCTTCTGTCCTCGTTCACGAATTTTTAAGACCCGGCATGGGATGATAGAGCCGAAATGTTAAATCTTCACCCTCTTTCACCTTGTACGTGCAAATGACCGATAGGCGATCAGCCTCAGCCCTGCCCCCTCCTGTCCCATCTCTGCTCTTTGTGATCCCGGCGTCCCACAGGTGCACAGAACCTCAAGCGTAGTCCCAGGCCAAGACAGCCGTTGAGGCTGCGTTTAAAGGGCTCACGGGCACCACTGCCTTTTAATCCCTCGTCTGTTTTTGTGCCGGATTAAGTGACGTGCTCTCCCTGGGCCCAGCCCACGGGTGCCGTCCAGTTTGGCTAAACGTGAGAGCTTGTCCCGCTGGCCAGATAACACCAGGGAGATTCAGCAGGAGCCCTTCCTGCGAGGGGCCGCAGTACCTGCTGTGAAGTTGCACGCACAGCAGATACGGGTAAAGGGGAGGCCACGCCTGCCTCCGTAACCGTCACCGGCCTCAACTCGGGAGCTATTGATCAGAATGACATCTTCGTGCAGCACTGATTTTTTGGTGGTTGTTCCACGGGTGGGCTTGATGTCATTGGTATGGCTTCTCCCTGCAGGTAACATCACGACCCGGATCCGAGCCTCCGAGACCGGGTCCGATGAAGCAATCAAGTCCATCCTGGAACAAGCCAAAAGAGAGCTGCAGGTGCAGAAAACCGGTACGGATTCCACTTTTTTGACCACTGCCTTCCAAACTCAGAAGAATTGTCCTAAGGGTTCTGGTTAGCAGTAATTAATCTTAAAAAAAAAAAAACCAAAAACAAAAACAAAAACAACAGTGTGTGTTTTCAGGCATTTGGGCAAGCACGGACGGAAACAGGTCTGTGTGATCTGAATGTTGCCACTAGTGACCGCTCTTTTTATAATGTCATTTCCCAGCACTTGACTCAAGAACGTACCTTCGGCCTAGACCCTCCTTGACTTAAACAAGTGAACAAGTAGTTGGTATCAGATTTCCTTCTTTAAATGCCATCCAGGCTTCATTATTTAGATGTATACTTGACTAAACACTGAAAAAGCGGCCAGGAAATAAATCCTAAGCTCCTTCATGGGATGAACGCGGCTGGGGAGGGGTGTCTGAGTGCAGGAGGTCGGCCTCAGGAACCGGCCCTCGGAGCTCCCGCGCCCCCGCTGAGTTGGAATTGAGAGGCAACACGGTGCTGTAGATTCAGCTCAGACCCTCTGCCGGAGAGGAGACTGAGTGCCTGAGTTCTCTCGCTCTGGGGTTCAACGTATGGACACACACCCGCCCCGTCCCCACGAAACCCCTGCTCTGCAGAGCCCTTCCACCGCAGACCTGGCCACTGGGCTCCCGCCAGGCCTGGCCACGGGCAGCCGTGGCAGCTG